TCCTAACGCGGCCGCGATCCCCCTGCCTCGGAGCCCGCAGGAAAGACCTGGCGGAGCTCAAGAGCTAAGTTACTACCAAGAGGGTCCTCCGGGAGCTGCTCTGGTTTTATATGCGGCAGTGCATATATATTTAATCCTGTCAACCCCTTCATGCCCGAACCCGCGTTTCCAGAAGCGTCTCTAGTCCCTCATCTCCTGCAAAATGCATCATCACCGGCTGCTGGAGGGATACAGGCTGAGATGCGTGTCTGCCATATGGGCGGGGAAGGAAGGGGAGAAAAATGGAGATTTTCTCTGTTCTTCTGCCCTTGGGGAAAACAGGAGGGCTAGGGAGGGGCTCGGGAGCATTTATAGCCCCTGCCTTACCCTTCAGGTGCAACTACTCATTCCTGAGTGCTCCCAGATCAGAATCCTTTTCTCACCTTGCATCCTTCAGGATTGCTCCCTGCACCCTCTGCATCATTTCTTTGCTAGTCCTCTGCTCTTCGGGGGGATAAGCCAGGTTCAAAGACACCATGGTCCAAGGACACCTGTGTGAAAGCTCCTGGTAGACCCCTTAACTCCAGGGACAAAGCCTAAGAGGATCAGCCCTTGTGCTGTAGCTGTGCAAGGCAACTCCCCTCCTTCACTCCAGGTTATTTCTCCAGAGACTTCCAGCCGGTTCCAACTGCAGATGAATGAGCAAGGGTTCAAGGGGGCTGTGCAGCTGCATGAAGAGCAGTCACTGTGGGGATGGCCAAGAGCCATTGCCTCTTCAGTGTGCTCTCCAGATCGCTGTTGACTTGCATTACCCATCATCTTTTCTGTTTGCCTTGAACTGAAAGTGCCTGTGTAGGTGAACAACCAGGGAAGCAGCTTGGGAAATGGGGAGAATTCACACCTGGATGTGTTTCAGAGTGTATCGGTAAAGCAGACTGATGGGAAATTCATGTTCCGCTTAGAATATAGGTTTGCTAGACAATAATAATGATTTGGGATATTGTCCAGAGGTTTGTGTATGCTATTGAAACCACTGGGAAAGTTTTCAGTAAAAGATCTCAGAGTCTTGCTATTGTGCCAAAGGAAATGTGACTGTTTCCATTTGCAGATGTCATCCTGGTTTATGATTGTCATATGTGTCACCTCTCTGCCAGGTGGCATATGCCATTCTCAGCAGTTGACAAGCTGTCCTGAGAAACCTTTGTGATCTTGCCATGTTCAGCTTATTCATGATATCACCATGGCAGAAGGAAGTCATCAGGGTGAACTGTCCATAAATGACCCGAAACACAATTAAGTCAAGAGTTTTCTTCACACAACTAAATCAGGATTATTTGCTAGGGCAAAAATCCAAGGTCCAAATCTCAGCTGTTCATTAGGCATGTGGAACACTCCGAATGGAAGCTTTGAGTCTTCTGTGGAGAATCCTCCCATTTATTTATAGCTACCTAAAACATAGAAAACAACTGCACTATTCCCGATATTTTTACCATAAATAAAAAATACATGCTAGATTTAGACAATCATTCTGCATTTGTCTCTGCATAAAGCTTCTGTCTCAAAAAAAGGGGGGGGGGCAAAAAATACTTTGAGGAAGAAAGAGGAAATATTGTCAGTCTCCCAGTACAACAAACCTTCACAAGGGCTGCTACACATACCTGGATCAAAAAAAAAATGTATATAGTTAAAAATCAAAGGAGCTTCTAATCACTGTACTATTTAGACCAAAAAGAAAAAGTGATTTTTATTATTTGAAAAATAAAACACACTCAGTAATCGCATGTGTTATGCAACAGTACTTTTATAGTTGAATTTTGGTAATGTAAGAATTAATATATTAATTTACAATCAACAAAAAATCTTTCCATAAAAATATAATCACAGGCTGACAGGCTGTGCAGTTGTTATATGTATATATGTTTGTGTGTATTTATATATGTGTGTGTATATATATAAGCTGTATCACTTACACTGTTCAGGCATTGTTGCATGGAAAGATTTGGGATACTTTAGCCTTATTAACAGAGCTTATATGCTCAAATGCTGCCTGCCTCTGGCAAAGGATGAGCCAGATCCTGCCCTGTGCCCTTGCCTTCAGAAAGCTCTTATTGAAGTCAATAGGAAATTGTCTAAATCACAGAGCAGGCTCAGGCTTTAGGTTGACTGGGAATTACACAGTCTTAGACTCATTTCCTCCAGGATCCTAATTGCATGATTAAACCTCTCAGCTGGGAAGATGGAAATCTATGCTCTGGTCCCTTATCTACTGCATAGCCTTTGATGAAGACAAGGATGAAGGCAGGGAAGCTTAGCTGCAGCTTCCGCATCCTGGATAGGCGCATGCAGTTGTTAGCAAGTTTTGAGAATTAGGTGTTTCTGTTTCCCTGGTGCAAAGCTGATGGGAATGCATGTGCAACTGGGTTTTTGCACTGACTTCACACAGAGTTTGCAAGGTGATTTAACAGTGTTGTCACTGGCAGGAAAGTAAACGGTGACAATTCTTCCATTATATTCATAGAAAATTGGGAGTTACCCACCTAGAAGGAAATAGCCAGAGCTGCAGAGCAGAATGCCCCTTAAAGAAACAGGCTTCAGAGAATGCCTGGAACACGCACCAGGCTCAGAGCTCAGTAATTTTTCATTGGAGCTGTCTGTTCAGAAATAGGAAAAGTTGTTGAATGAACTGCTGTTAAAAACCTCCCACTGACTCTGGAGAAAGTGCTATCAAAAATCAACGTATCAGAAAGAAAAGGTTAGATTTCTTTTTTTCTTTTTGCCCAGCCTAACCTCTGCATTTCAGACACTTGCACTGATGAAAGAAATTTTGTATCTTTGGCTGACTTGAATGATAAGTGAAATCTTCTGGTTTTGAACATTTGTCTCCTCGGGATCACTTGAAATGATCAAAGGAGGAAAGCTGTGAAGCTGTGAAGAGAATTGGTGATTTAAGAGCAGACTTCATTATTTTGGGTTTTAACAGTTGAGAGCAGCTTCTACTGACCCCGAGTCTCCAGTTTAGTTTTGGTTTTCCCCATCCATGCCGAATGGTGGGAATGCTTGGAAGAGCCCAGGAGCAGCTGTCCTGCCAAGCAGGGAGCAGGGCTGTAAGGTGATCAGGGACCAGGCACAGGCTGCTCCCCTTGTGCCCCGAGGGAGATAATATGGAAGCACATGCCAGGCTTCCCTAAGGGGTGCCGCGGTGCCGTGGCTTTTCCTCCAATCCTTCTTCAGAAAAGTGAACCTAGTGGCAGTAGCCTGTGTATACTCGAATGTTGCATCTTTTTAACTGTATTTGTATATGTAAAGCACCATAGCTATTGCTGTATTTAGTACAAGCTATTCCAA